AATAAAAAATATGTTAATTTCATTAACTCTATTCAATTTTGTTAACAACGAATCATTACATTTGAATAGATGTGTTTTGTCATTTTTGGTTTTAATATTTTATTTATTTCGGACTATTTTTCTTTAGACGTTTTACATTTTTTAAACTTATTGTCATAATATTCTTTTTCTTTAACTCTCTTTAGTTTAATAAAATAATTTTTTGATCTAATGTATGCGTTTTTATTCTCTAATGTAGGATTACATATATAAAACCTATAAAAAGCATTCTTGCGCAAACTGTAGTTATACAAGTTAATATCCATCCAAGGTTTTCTAAAGCGGTCCTTTTTGGTGACTATTGGACATACAGTATTAATACAATCCAAATAGGTTAGAAAAAAGTTTTCATAATCCGTCTCTTAGCTGGTATCATCAGTCAAAACAGGCCAAGAAACATCACCAAGAAGTTTATTTGCTAATCTCACATTTTCGTCCTTCATTACACGGGTTCTTACTGGTTGGCGCATGCTCACAACAGATTGTCCACCCCATTTCAGTGAAACAAAAATCGGCATATGATCTGAAGTCTTCACATATGATGCCTTTCAATAGGTAATGACGGTCATTGGTGAAGATATTATCAATGATAGACATAGCAGGGTAAAATATAAGAGTTGGTTATTTATAATAGGATGTAAGTCAAATCCACTTAGGAGATCCAGGAAAGATCGAGACGTATTATTATCAATTGCCAGATTAATATTGAAGTCACCCAGGATATATACATTAGAACCATTATCTATCTTTAGATGACTACTCAGAAACTCATATAGAGCTTCGAAGAAATCAGTTGTTTTTATTGTTGGACATTTATAAATACTAATTAAGTATTGATTACTGTTATTATAACCAGTTTTAATACCTGACCATTCAAAGTGATTAGTATTAAAAGATCGATCGTTATTTAAATTTAGGAAAATTATATCACTATTTAATAAAATTCCTGTTCCACCTCCTTTCTTGGTGGTTCTATTATTGATTACCAAGGTATGATGTGGCAAGTTGCATTATCATTCAACCAGGTCTCACTTAAAGCAATGACACAAAAATAAGAACCAATACTCTTCACTGATTGAGTTATTTCTTCGAGATGAGCATTTAGACTACGGCAGTTAATATGCATTACAATTAACTCATATTTACCAATGCTTAACAAATTTTTATACACATCAGCGATTGTGAAATACTTAGACATTGAATTAAATTTATAAATATAGGACATATTATCATCAAAATTAAATGATCGAAACAAATTGATATTATAGTTGTTATACCAATTCATATTACAGACACCTAAATGATTGATAGAATTTACATTATCATTCATATTAAGATACATAACATTTAGATCTTCATTCATATTATCAATATTAATATTTGGAGACATAGTATTCATATCCACAAATATATCATCATTCTTGTTACAATTAATATTACTCACCATGACATCAACCGTATTATCGAACTTATCACCATTTATTATATGGTTTATATTTTATATTTTACATCATTTAAAACAGCATTTATGTCATCATTCATATTAAGGTTAATATCATCATTCTCATCAGGGTCCATGTCATCATTCATAATAGTAATCATGTCATCATTTACATTTAAGTTAATATTATCATTCGCATCCATATTCATGTCATAATTCACATTAATATCACTCACAACACCATTCATGTCGTTCTTCACATTAACAACATTATTAATAACAGCCTACATGACCTCATTCATATTAGCAATATTATTATTCACCACTTCATTCCCACTAAAGTTAATATCATCAATCACATCAGCCTCCATGACATCACTCATAATAATAACATCATTCATAACAGCATTCATGACTTCATTCACACTGTAGTTAATATCATCATTCACCTCAGCATTGATCTCATCTCTCACATTAATAACATTACTAACATCATTCATGACATCATCCACATCTACTTTTTTATCATCATTCACTTTAATAACATTATTATGTTCAGCATTCATGAATTCATTTACATTAAAGTTAATATCATCATTCACATCTGCTTTTTTGTCATCATTCATATTAATAAAAACATTATGAATAGCATTCATGTATTCATTTACATCATAGTTTATATCAACATTCACATCATTATTGGTAGCAGAAAACAGTCATAAATCACCATTTTTAGTCTCGTTATCAATTGCTCGCTTATTTTGTTTAAAGACCCATTCACGTACCAGAATATCCTTCGGCATTATATCAGGGTCAGTCATCTTATTACTGTTAATTGCCTCAACACAGACTCTGAAGCTAGAGGCATCATCATCATCCTTGTTAGAGGCTTCATCCAGAGATTTGTCCTTGCCAACCAAAACAGGATAGCAAGTTATCACCTTTATTCCGTTTGTTGATAGGAAATCCATGATATCACTTCTTTTACAGGCCTTGAGGTTGCTCATCAAGAAGACCTTTTTTTGACAAGGTTTTTATTGGCCTGCAATCTGCAGCCTTCATTAATCTTATTACCAATTATTTTTAATGGCGATTTCTTTCTGGATTTAAATTTTTTTGGTTTATCTGAAGTACAGGGCTCCGGCACAGACAAATCATTTTTTAAACAGCTCAGTGTGTTAATTATCTTAACGGGAGATTTGACAATTTCTGCATAGCTTGAAGGTTCTGAGATGACCTTGCCAAACGAATGTTTTTTTTTCCTCATCGTGACATTCATGGACTGATCATCTATGCCATCCACAGGAAGGTTAGGGAATTCATGCAACGGCTGTGATCCTGACACTGACATAGCATTGTCCTTGTTCACTTCTTTGCCTTTTTTAGCCAATGCGATTGTTTGGATGACAGAAGAAATTTGGTTAAGATCTTCAGAAAACCTTTTAATACCAGATGTCAGCATATCAATCACAGTATTTGACCATTTGGTTACACTTAAAGAATCATCATTATCATTTGAGACTAGTTGGCAAGTCAACCATCCCAAGTGTTGTAACGCCTGTCCGGCTGCTTGGAGTAATTCACCTACTCCCTCCGTTGAATACATTTAGTTCGTACTATTCCAATTTCGCAATACTCAAAGCAAAAGTTCAACAAATTCACTAAATTAAAAAGGTGAGAACGACACAATTCAAACTCGGCAACGTAAAATAATTTTCGGCGACTTAAAATGATTACATCCATCCGCCATTAGACCAAAGACCAAAATCAAACAAAGAAAATGAAAACAAAGAAGTAATAAAAACTAACATTGTAAATAATGACAAAGAAGAATATGATGCTCTCGATGAAGAAAAAGAA